TCTCGCACCCGACACTAGGGCACTCGCTGACCTGGTGGCGGGTTCACGAACTTCGTCCGCGTTAGCCAATGAGCGTCAAGGAGGAAATAGTTCAGGAAGCATTACTGTTCTTCTTTGGATCCGGTTTAAACTGGGTGAAATACCCTATTGCAACGACTCGTTTTTGAGGTTAGAGGTCGAGATAGCGTGCAAGACGCTTACAGACGTCACCATTTCTATATACGAAGACCTCAATCACCTCGAGAGTGTTGCAAAGTTCCTCCGTCAATCCACACACCTGCGACACGTCCACCTGGGTAATTGCTCGGAAGCTAACTCTGCCAACGCTGCCGAGTACAGCACGGCGTTGATCGAGGCCCTGGCACCGTCGTCCGGGCCGGCTCGCCTGGAGCGGCTGGCCCTCGGAGGGATCGAGGACGTTGTGCGGCCACTTCTCCGCGTGCTACCCTCGCTGTCCGCCCTGCGCCACCTGGACCTGATCATCGGTTTGTCCGTTGCTCTCGCGGACGAGCTGCTCCTCAGCCTCACCCCCGTCAAGACTCCGGCGCTGAGGAGGCTGGAGTATGTGGCTCTGTGGGGGAAATGCCCGCACGCCTGGATACACGGTGCTGCGGTCAGGGCGGCTCCCGCGGCGAACCCGCTGCTGCATATCCAGGTGCGTTTGATCAGCCGTAGGTGCGGACCGAAGGAGAACTGCGAGGCGTGCGTGGAGGGCTGCCACCAGGAAGTGAATTGGGGTGTGAGCAGGGTGTTGAAGATAGGCCTTTACTCGCATGGCCCTGACAAGTGTCCCTCTCCGGAGGACCACGCTCAAGACGTCAACTGGGTCAAGGCCGAAAGACGCGGACGTGCCACTAAACTCGAAGCCTGTACGTGGGTCCACATGTGATGTATTTGTGGGATGTGTCATACTTTTCGTTTTGGCACGGGTAATCTTTAGTTTTCTTTAGTGTGTCAAATTTATTAGACGATTAATAAATTATCATTGTTTCTGGTGAAATCCAAGCCCACTACTTGTCCCCTTCCTTGACACGGTACGCTCGGCTCGCCCACAAGACTTTCACACAAGTCGCTTAACATATCCGCTCCATGCCAACTGCATTTTGCACCATCGGCGCCTTCAACCCACCCCTCCGCACTTCGGGCTCTAACAGCACAACTGGCCGAAGCTGCCAAGTCTTCAGTGGAAACCCGAGCATTCTTAACTATCAATCAATTTTAATTTAACTAAACTTTTAATCACCGTCAATCTATCTAATTTTAAACTTATACATGATCCATTTGGGGGGGGGGGGCACTGTTACAGAGAAATGAATGTTGATTGTGTGCGTCGGTTCGGGTCAGGCGTGCACAGACGGTGCCCTCGCGCGTTTCATTTCGGACGATTTCGGATGAATGGCCGGGGATTATGTCGCCTGGAATCGCCCCCCCC